AAATGGTAACAATTTCCGCACGTAATACAAATATACTGAAAATATGCAAACTTTGTAAAGCTATATTTTCCAAGCTTTACAACATTTCGCAACCAAATTTTGCAGGTTTACTCATTTTAATAAGTTCTTAACGGGAATTTACTTTTTTTTTGCTTAGATCGGCTAGATCAAAAATTTGTCTAACATGCAAGTTGTCTGTTGGTCAGAGTCGTGAACCAATATCGCAGGGCCGCAGGTTCGATTCCTGCTGGAGGGCCTATATAGGCCTAGTTGCATTTTTCGCAACTGCTGCTCAGTTTAGGGCTGCTCAGTTTAGGTCTAATAAGCTTATAAAACTTCCATTCAAAAATTTCCATCTACAAAATCGCTTCATCAGGTTAGTTATGCAGAGTGAGATAACCAAAATCCTGATAAAGAACGAATAATGTTGAACTTGACGAAATTCACTGCGTTTATTATACAATGATTTTTATCTATACAACGTTTCGGGTTTAGTATTTCAATAAGTTGGCTGCTTGCATGCGCAATGATTAGAAACTAGGTACAGTTTGTTAAGATAGGTACAGTTCTCCCCCCCCCCCCTCATTTTGCCCCTAAATTTATTAGTCACTGAGAGCGACTAAAGGCTACACAAGCGTTTTGTCGTTATCGGAAAATGTATGGCTTATAAGTTGTCATTACTCATTAGTGAATGCGCGTATACATGAAACTGTTTTTTACTGTTTCAATATTAGTTTGTAAATCTCTGAATGGTAAAACTTGCCAATAATCCAATAATACGTTTTAAGAAAGACAAAAAGGTTTAGTTTTGCAGAGTTAGATTCTCAAACGTGTAAAGGCGGTTTTCCAGTCTTCGCAACGAAGCTCCTTGCAGCTCGCTGCGAGTGCTTGCATCTAATTAAAATTAACTGTTTTGCATTGTGATTGGATGGAAGTGCTCATGTATCACTCGCAGCGAGCTGCGAGGAGCTTCGTGCGAAGACTGGAACACCGCCTTAAGGCACTAATAAGACGAAAGTATCACGAAATTATTTGAATAAATCACATCGCATATATGGAGGGGGGGGGGGCAATATCCTAAAGGGGAGCGATATTCCTTGGGTATTCGCCCTCCCTGGGGGTGATATTCCTAGGACATTCCCCCCGGGGCGATATTCCTAGGTATATCGCCCCCCTTTTGAGAGGGGGGCGAATTTCCTTGGCCGGGGGGGGGGCGAAATTCCTGTGACAACGGCATGGGCAAATAGCAGTACCTTTTTGAAAATTCTATCTTGCCTCCCCAAAAAATGAGTTTGCCCCTCAAATACCCCCCCCCCCCAAATTCTGAGGCCTGGCGCCGCCACTGTTTTTGACTAAATTATACTATTGACACTTCATAGAATTACAAAATGATACTAATTAAGCACCTCAGGGGTGATCAATCTACGTATATCTAACACGCATATAATATACAGGACTAATCATGCAAGACTATAGTCTATAGTAGTCCCTAACCCGGACATGTTTGCAAAGCTATTTTAAAAAAAGTCCTAAAATATCTAGGTTTATCACGTATACATGATGGCTAGTTTTTTCACGTTTCGAACTATATGCATGCGTTAATAATTAATTTTATATAGAAATGAACAATAAATAGGCTTTTCTCACGCGTCAGCCATATGTCGGAATGAAAAGCGAGACAAATTACACAACGAAAAATGCAACTTGATTGCCTCCGCTTTTTTGCTGTTCGCGCGTTATTAGCCTCGTTTTAATTCCAACACGACTGACAAATGAGCAAGGCCTATATTTCATGTTTAAGATAATACCATAGTTTGTTTGAAACATTTCATTGGCCCGTGTTCTCCTTGAGATCTTCATTTGTGATAAGCTTTGCAATTCATAGCTTATGAACTGTTAGAGTGTTAAAAATGTTACCCACATGCATGGGTTTCCACTCCGCAACAATATGGGACAAAGTTCCTCGTATCTTAATGCATAGTTAAATACATGAAGGTCACCCTGGGTTGCTTTCAGATTCATCGCATTTTTTACATTTTCATCATCTTCGAGCAAGGCGCCACGAATATATTTTAGAGCAAACTTCAGTTGTTAAACTCTTGCTTTTAAACATGTTACCCACGGGGTCTTCCACTCTGCGATAATACCACACAGCTGCTTATGTGGTGGAATTTCACAGAGTATAATACAGATCAACCTGGATTATTTGCAGTACCACGATAGCTGCCTCTTTCTCTTCGTGAAGATTGGTTGCAGTCTATGTGAGTGAAAGCCATGCATGTGCCTTTAATCGAGCTCGTCAGCCGTTTAGCTTGCCTGATAGACGAATAGGATCAGTTGCAAATCGCTACCACTGATTGACAAAGAGCTGTGATTTTACTATAACTCAACTTAATTAACATGGAATTTATGCACCTTTGTGATCAAGCCGTAATATTAAAACATGTTTGTCGATAGTCAACATGCATGGTCTCTTAATTCGTATCATGTCCATCATCTTACAGCTGCTCATACTAAGGTTGCACCTAATTAACTGTTGCACCACAAAAATTTACCCCATAAAGGTGACGGCATTTAAGGGGAGGTAGTTCGCACAAGCGTGGAGTTGTTGACGGTCTACCATGCACCCCACCGTTGGGCCTAGGTGGACAATGCCCTGGGTGTGGGGTGAAGTACTCAAAGCAGGGTGAATGCACTTCTATGACGATACACGTCATAGAATCAAGGAAGGCTGTATGTTGCAATAGATCGTAAAAAATATGGAACCATGCTTTCGAAAGAATAAATAAAAAGAGCATTCGCCACTGACTTATCTTGTATATAGTTTACATCGAACGAATGCTCAGAAACAAAATGTGTTATTGCATGCTTCATATAGGTCCTTGCCGCAGAAAGTAAGCGACTACTAATGTTTTGCCATTGTTCGTGGGCGAAATATATTTTGAAAAGTTATTTTCAAACAAGTTTTGAAAACGAAATTGTCCTTTTTAACTAAGATGATTGCTCGCGTATGTTTATTTAGTTATATTTATGTTAATGGTAGGTTTTCTGCGCCTACAACTTTAATGTCATATTTAGCAACAGACTTATATAGCACGATTTGGCACTAAAAACAAAGTTCTAAATTTGTCTACTATCTATGAAATAAAAATAATTGAATCCTAAGTTTATAGAACTCCGAGCGGAGCCTTTTATATAAACACATGTCATAATCGAATTTCCTTTCAGAGCAACGACCAATATGACGCTTTCCGGACAACAAGTTTCAGCAAAAATACAGATTAATCGCTCAAAATATGTTGTTTAAATGTTGACTTATCTTGTTCTCAGTGGAGGTAACTCTAATGCCTCAGGTGCGACACGTCCCCTTGGGCTTGATCGACACATCATTTGCTGAAATAAATTTTTAAAAGCCGCTCTGCACGTTTGGTCCAGACATGCATAAAGTATTGGATTGCATAGACTGTTAAAATAACGAAAATCCCTTACTACCCTTTCAACTACGAGAATCGGACGCAATTCCCTGAAACTGCTAACCGAACCAATCAAATTTGGATAGTAGGGTACAAGCAATATATAAATCAAGATAGGACCCCAGCAAAGTATAAACACTCCCACGACAACCAACAACATTCGGATAGCCTTCAGATCTTGAAGAAAGGCACTTCGTTGGTTCTGATCATTGCAGGTTTGACCCAGTTCGCCATTTCTCAACATCTTTCGGCGTTTATGAACAGCAACAAAAACGAGAGCGTACATAACCAGTATAATTAAGGCGGGTAGAAAAAATGTACTTACTGCTAGCAAAATACAGCATCCTTTCATTTTATCAAGATCAATTGCAACAACGGTGCTGCAGATCCATCCGTAGACGCTTTCTGAATGAGGAGTGGTGGCAAAGGCAGTTGAAATATACCAAATGATAAAGATACTTTTCAATGATTTGGAAGTTGTCATTCTGGATCTATATTGAAGTGGCTTCCTCACCTTGAGATATCGGTCGAAACTGATGAATGTCAGTGTATAAATAGATGCTGTTAACGCAAAGGTATCTATCCACAATGCAAAACGACATAGGTGAATAGACGTGGTACGTTGCGATTCATAATCGAGACTGAGTTGATACACCTTCAATGGTTCTATAAAAATATATACCAACAAAAAGATCA